AACAAAGCTACATAAACAATCAGGACTTATTTTAAGATATCTACTGGAGAGACTTTAGAGAAGCAGAAAGCTTGTATTAATTATTGAAGATTTCTCCAGTGATCCTAAGTAGGGAAAATTAGTGCAAAGTATATAGCTTAGAGAAATGGTGCGCTAGCATTCTCTTTTTTGATCCGAAGAACAGACGCCCCTACAACATCTAAAAGCAATTTATGTTTTCTAAGGTAGTAATTCAGTATTTTTGCACTCACACATTTTGCACTCACAGACACATTTTGAAAATCAGCGATGTAGCCATCAATGCAGAAACCACTCAGCTTTCCTCTCTCTTACAAAACAAGCAATCTATCTTCTTTCAAAGCTATAGTACCTTTGATTGAAAAGTGTCACCATTTCAAATCTGTCATGGCCAAATTTCATGTTATGCAGAAAAACTATTTTTGGTTAGTTTTGCTTTCTTAATGAAAACCATGGCAAACTGAGGCATGTTTAATTGTTGTCTCTATGTCTAATGATCCAAATTGTCCCATCAAAGTGGCTATTAGTCTTTCTGGAAAGGTAAGATATTTGCATTAGGAAAGCGGTAAGGTGGTCTTTTCTAGCGCTTTTGGTCTAAGGAGTCTCCTTAGCTCAGAGTCCCCTTCTGGCTAATGTTATCCCCCAAGGCCCAGAATATTCCTCTTCAGAAGATCTGGAACCAATAAAAGTGACAACGGGTCACTTCTGGAAACTTTCTCAGAACCAGTTTCTCAAGTTTCAGAGGCCTCTTCCTCTGTGAGTAAATCATCAGCAGAACTACTGTCACGTACTAGTGGATAGAGGTAGCCGAAGATAAAATCTGGGTTTAAGGCTCGATAAACGACTGACCATCTGGAAGCCATCTTCAAATTGAAAATGCTGAATTTGTATATGTTGAAACAAATCTTGTTCTTGCTATGAGAAATTGAATCTATTTGGCCGACCCACTGTTGTTGCTACTGCATCTCTGAAATGGTAAATTGACTTTTACAGAAAAATCCAGCACCATTTTTTTCTCAAGTTGAAGTAACACTTGCTCAGTTTCATTTTGCAAAGTTCAAGTAATCAAGTGCACTGGGTCTTGCATTCCATGTTCCTTGTTAACATAATAAATACATTCCTAAAACTAAATTAAATGCACATGTGGGCATAAGAAGCCAAAATTTATATCTAGGTAAATACATTTGATGGACTGATCTAAAAAAGCATCTAACACTGTGAAATGAAACCAGCCCTTTGAATGACAAATCAAAGCTTTGTATTCAATTCATGAATGTAACACTGCTGGCTACTTCACATTTTGAATACTTATAAACATTTCCTTTCATATCTGTTTAAGTTACCATATAATACAAACCTCTGTCTATTCAGTTTGTCCATGAAGAAAGAAATCTTTTTCTTTGATTATTTTCTAAATCAGAATCTTGGCTAGATCTTTATTCTCCAGTCTCTTGGAGCTCTGTACCTATGGCACCACATAGCTATGGGATAATGCGACTTCTATTTATCCACTGTTTTTACTCCTGATAAAGTGGATGGGGACTGGAAAAAGAAAGTGGTACTACAAAAGTTTGTGTAGCTAATACAGATATCAAAGGTGATATTTCTAATAGATAGTAAGTTTAATTTTGAAAAGTAGCTAGCACAAGCTGACTTCAGGAAAAAGGCTAAGAGATGGGGAGTTTCCAGTTCAGGATTTATCATTTGTAGAGGATGACGGTGAAAATATTGCATTCCATCCAGACTGGAATATAATACAAACACACTAGTTCTCAACTTCTGTGACATTGTGACCACTTAAAATGAATTTGTACAACCCCCATCCCATGAATAAAACTAATGATTTTATTGTGGCTAGGGTTGGACAAAAATAAATATACCACTTGCTTTTAATACATCTTTCTACATTAAATAAATCAATGATAAAAATGTACAACTTTATAAAATAAAACTGCTTCACTGGAAATAAGACAAAAACTCGACAAACCTAATAACTTTTAAAACTATCTTTTTTAATGGGGAGGCTTACTTTTGCATAATTCCTGACATCTGCTTTTGCTTTTGAAGAGAGTCACTCTCATTCAATGAAGTCAGGAAGAAAAATCAGCTTCTCTTAAACTGTTGCAACTTGCAAAACATGGGCAGGTGTTGCATTCGGAATTCTCTTTCCCTGCACAGCTGCACTAAGGTAGCAATTATAGCCCATCTTCTCTTTCCCTTCCAGCCTTTTCTTTCCTCCCAGCAGCCCCTCCAGCTTTGCCTTCCATTGTAATTCCCTCTGCATAGGAAGCATCAAATCACATGGTAATAGCTTTGGTGTCAAGCTTAATTTATTTATCAGAGAGAGATTGTTAAATCTAGGACTGTCACACATGACTTCAAAACAAGAAGCTTAAGGGGAAAAAAAGAGAAACAAGTTACTAGAAAGGAAGTTGATGGGGAAAGTCAAAGGGGTTGAATCTCTCAATGATATTTAGTGACTACTCAAAACCACAATAATAGAAATGCAACTAGAATTTGTACTGCAGGTAAAACAAGGTCAAATTATGTCTATCAGTGTTCAGCATGACTAAAAATGGCATCAAGAAAACTGTTAGAGCAAAAAGGAGGTTTACTAGCTAAACAAGGAGAATTTTTAAAAAAAGGATGTAAACCTGTTCAAAATAAAGGCAAAAGAAAAACAGAAAGAGAAACATGTCCTATATTTGTGCTTTCCACAAGCATGTGGTTGTCACTATAAGACTAACAGACTCTTGGAAGTAGTCTGATCCAGGAGGACTCTTCCATTCTTTTGGTAATGAAGGGCAGAAACTGATCTGGGCTACATTCAGTCTGTAGCATTATCATTTTATGAATGGGATTTGTCAACAGGCTGAGCTTTTCCCCACAGCCAACATATGCTGGTGTATGCTGATGACAACACAGCCTTAAATGAAAGAGCCCTACTCATTTCCTGTTTTTGATTACACAAGTTGATAAGTAACTTTAAGACAGAGAACAGTAGTTGCCATTTCTGCACCCTAAGTGAAACTGATGCAGGATGGCTCTAGAGACACCAAGGTGAAACCAGACTGTACTCTGGTTCATTTTCACATTTTTTCCTTACTATTGCCAGGAACATTTATTTAATACTATCTTTACATTCCCAAGAACTTTCACAGAATATTACATAGGGCTGGGTGAGAGAGTTGAAAGGCTGACTGTGAGTCACATAATAGACACTGAGTTCCATGACATTCAGCCAGCTACACCTTACCTATCAGCCACATTAGAGCTGGTAGCAATATATAGTCACCCAGAGTCTGCTAGACTGGGTGGCTATATTAAATGTAATGAAATAAATAAATGAATAAGTGAAGGAAAAGACATTCAGCAGATTGCTGTTATACTTTGAGTAAGGATGATAGGAACCCTCCTCTCCAAAACTATGTATTTATGCTTTGATCCAGCTAGGATTAGTCATGTTTAAGATTTAGTTCACAGAGATGGCAACCTATGCCTGTCCTGAACCACTTTGGGTTATAGGTTGAGTATTCAATTAAAAAAATAAAGGAAAAATAGTGCTGTTATTGCTCTTGTTTTCAAAAAGATCCCTCTGAAAAGAATCCAAATAGGATTGTAAAAAAAGGGTTTCAACCTAGTTTTCTCCCTAGTTTGCACTACTTATGCAAAGGTGGTTTATTCCTTTATTTCTTTGTATGGAAGAATATAGTCACCTATATAAGCTTCCATCTGCTGTCTAAAATCCACAGCCTAAATGCAAACTTCAACTGCAGTTGTTATGAGGATCTGCCCTACCATTAAGCAGAACCAGGAAGTGGTGAGAGATTATAGAGGACACAACTGTATCAGGACCATGGGGCCTCAAAACTAGTTTGCTGCTCTCAGGTGCAGTAGAAGATACTGTCCAATTGCAGTATTGAAGTAAGGTACAGCTGCCTATCCATCCGGCTTCTGTATATGGAACTGGGTGGGAAATCTTGTGTTTCTTAAGAAAGCAAGATCTTACTGAATCAAAAGAATGAATTAGCCCTGACCAGCTTAAGTCCCATTGTTTGCTCAATAGGGCTCTACCATGAAGCTGATGCAAAGCCTTTGGCTTGTTGGTGAAAAATGCCCAACACATCTTGGGTTAAAAAGAAAGAGCTCTGAAGAATACCACAAAATCACTTTGCAACTTGCTTTTAGAAAAAGCCAGCCTTTGCTTCAGTAATATCATTGTCATTATTTCAATGCTACTCTGTGATGTATAATTTAAGAGGTAGCAGTAATTAATTGCACACAGTGCTTGAATTGACAGGTTCACAGACAGACTCTGGTCTTAGTTTTCTTTCACTCTCCATTAGTTAGCACATCTCATTCCATTTTTTGGATTCCAGCCAGTAAATGCAAAGCATATACTAACTACATGGACTTAAAAGACTTTAAAGACTTAAATATTCAGTATAGTAGAGTTTGGAGGTCATCACACCATGAATAGCGTGACAGATTGCAATTCTGTGTAAATCCCTCAGAATTACTTCTCCAACACTTCAAGTGTGACTGAACTCTTAAGTGCACATGTATAGGATATTACAATTTAACTGTAAATAGTACTTTTAAAAACCATTTAGTTCATTATTTTTTACTCTCTCCGTTTACAGAACACAGAGCAGATCACTTAGGGCAATATTATTTTGCTTTTTTCCAGCTGTTATGATCTGCTTCTTTTGCATACTTTGGTTTACACTATTTTAATTATCCACACTAACAAGTGCAGTTCCTCTGAAACAAATGCCACCAAGAAACTCCCCCAGTGGTATGCAGAGATCTGCAGGCAAATTCCTATCCTGATTCTCATAATGGCTTAGACGAGGAGCTAAACCTGAAAAACGCAAAAATAAAGTCTTAAGGGGGCAAGAAAACCAATTCTGCCCCATTGGTGAAGGCAGGCACGCGTGTAGGCCAGGTCGCACCCACTCGCAGGGCCACCCGCTCCTTACCGTTGGCGTTCTTCCCGCAGATCAGATGCTCGTAGGGCTGCAGGACGCCCCAAAGCTCAGCGTCGTTGTTAATCACCGCCTCGAGAACTTCGGCGGAGACCTCGCTCCCCGCCCCGTCTCCGTCTGGGTTCTGGCTGGCCAGGACACGGCCCTTGATCTCCTCCACCAGGTTCTCCAGGCAAGAGGCTAAAGAGATGGCCGCATACTCGTGGATCCGAACAGAGATCCGCGTATCTACCATCCACCTGAAAAAGCGCCCAACAGAGAAGGTGAGGCCACAGCGGGCCGATTTGCCTTTCCTTAGGCCGTCTCCGGCACTCATGCTGTACAGCGAAAGAGCTTTGACGGTCGCCAGGACGCAGCTCTCTGACAAGGACCAGCTCTGGATCAGCTTGATGGCACTCTGGATCTCGAACCTCGTGCACTTGGCGTGCATCACGCTCAGGCGTTGCGCCTCCCGAGAGATGCGGATCAGCGGCCTCCGGAGGAGCATCGACAGCCTCCCCGCGGCTTCGGGGCTGAAGTCCCTCCTGCCCACCTCCTTCCCCTTCCGCAGGATCTTCTCGACGTCTTCCTCGCTCCAAGGGAATTCCTCGAGGTCGGGCAGTTTGGCGCATTTGGCGAAGATGTCCGCAACTTCGGGGTCCTCCGGCAGGACGGTGTTGACAGTATCCCAGCTGTTGTTCCGGCTGTTCATGGAGCCGGAGTAGTACCACCAGTTGCCCCGGTGCTGAGACGAGGCGAAAGCTTGGCTGTTGGACTTGCAGGATGAGAGGCTGAGGGACCTGCAGGAGTCCCCTGCCCCATACCCGGAGTCCAAGGTTAGGTCTTCCAGGGTCTTCAAAGTCGAGCTGTATATCCCAGCCATAGGAAAGCTCGGCGGTCCCGCTCCTCCCAGGCACGCACGAACGCCGAGTCCCGCGCAGTTCCCGAAGGCGACCGAGGGCGGCCGCGGGCTTAGGCGCCGGGATGCGAGTCCAGCACGGGCAGGAGCTCCTGCGGTTCCTTCAGGTTTTCACGGGTGCCAGCTGTCTCCATTCCACGGGCCGGGTGAGATCATTTCTTTTCCGTCTCGGAGACAGGATGGAAAATCTTGGGGCCAGCAGGAGAAGCAGCGGGGATCAGGCGGAGCTCCGAGGCGGCAATGCCTGTCGCCTAATGGGGGGTCCTTCAGCGGCGGAAGGCGAACAAGCCCTTCCCCAGTGACGGTCCAGAATCAATTTCGGACACCTCCAGGAGACGACGAAGAGGGAGGGAGGGAGGAGAAGGAGAAAGGAAACCCAAAGCAGCCCGGCGCGGCGGCGGCCGGCCGCCG